CCAATTTTCTGTCGTACGTTCGTTTCGTAAATGAGGCCCATTGAGAGTGGTGCAAAACTACTGGCACTAAGCAAGGTGTTTCAATAAAGTTTCTAATGTCTTCGGAAATATAGACAGGGGAATTGCTAGGTGGGCCCTACCAAGTCTTCATAAAATTCTAGAGCTGTATTACAGAAACTTCCTATCATAATTCTTTACATAAGATTTTTTTTTAAATTCCATTTCCTAAGTGAAAATTACCATGGTTTCTAAAGATGGATAGGATTCTGAGTTAGGAGTTGGTAACAAGAGCTAATGCAGATTTGAGTGTCAGCGTAACAGGGGAAAGTGAAAACAAGTAATCTGATTCCTTGGTTTCAAGGAATTCTGATTAAGTGGAAGCATATAGACTACAAAGAGAAGTGGGCAAAGAACCGAGCCCTGGGGGACACCTCTGTTGACAGGTCAGGAGCAGTGGAAAGTTTCTACTTCTGGAAAAAGACAAATTGCTATCTATCACTTAGGTACGATGTGAACCAGTGCACAGCTGTGCCAGTAATACCAACGGCTTAGAGGCAAGTGAAAGCATGTTGTGTCAGACAGTGCCAAATGCAAAGCTTAGATATAGGGTTTCAGCAGAGTTTTTCTTTTCTTATGAGTTTTAAACTGAGCTTTAGTGTTTTGGGTTTTGTGAAGAACTTTTGAATTGTGAGAACAAGCTAAATGTAATTTCTTGCTAAGAGGGCTAAACATGTTGGGTACCTGTCTGAAGTATCGGTTGCAGTTAATGTACTCTTTCTCATGGCAGTCTTGCAGCTTGTTGTTTTTGATGTAGAGCCACAAGGCCTGCATGATACTGGCTCTGGTCTGAGTGTGCACGCCCAACAGTCGTGCCAGGCGTGGATCCAGCTTATACTGCGGAGGCTAAGTCAAGTAGAAGAAGAAGTAAGATGATAGCTCATCATGTCATTAAAGAGATGCAACTATATACTCTGTACCAAACAAACTTAGGAAATGAATCAAATTGAAGTCTGATTTTCTTTTAAAGACCCCATTAGTTTTTTGGCTTTTAGTCCATGTCTGCAAAAGTAACTTTTATAAAGTAACTTTTTTTTTTTAAATAAATGTTGTTGTCTAGCTGTTAAAATGTACATTTATTCAAAATAGTGAAAATCATCACTGGTGACTAATCTACATAGCTCTGATTTGCCATTGCATTCATATTTTTAACTGTGTTCTAATGCTCAAAATTATGCTTAAAAAAAAACAACATGTAAAAAGAAATCTTGGATGCAATCTGAGCAGATCTAAATGTAATACTGTAATCAAAAATTTTCATTAAATTTCATATTTCACTTCAAGTGCGACCGTCACAATAAATGTAATATAACTATGCAGGGCCATTTTTTGCCTTTTTGCCATTATCTTGAATTTGGGTTGCATTTATGTTCATTTTGATGGCATCTTTAGCCCCAAGCCTGATGAATAGCCTTTATATGTGTGTGTGTATGATATACCTGGTGGTCTAGCATGAGAAGGAGAGTACATTTCACATTCACATCCCCTGGTCTCTTCACCTGAAATCCGTCTGTCTCCTGAGTTGTAGGCATTCTGTGCCACTAAGACATACAGAAAAATATATGACTACAGATGTAATGGCTGAATTTACTGTAAGACAGTACATGACGGTGAGTAAATGATGCCAGAATTTTCATGTTGTGTTTGATGAGGTCATCATGATCATGAGGATTTAAGTAGATTTACTCATATTGTGGGACATTAACTCAGACTTGTAATATATAAAATATGAGCATATAACTCTATAATATCATACCTCCACCAAGTGGTTGTCTGGGCCATAAAGTTCTTTGTCCAGTTCAATAACCAGGCTTTTAAAGAAGGATGAAAACTTTCGTTTCTGTTTCCCAGGCTAAGGATAAAGACAAAGATAAAGATAAATAAGTAGGGAAAAGGGGAGAGAGAACACAAGATCTTTTTTCAATGCGTTCATGCCACTGATTGATACTGCAGTGTTAGGAGCTGACCGCACTGGGGGGAGTTATTTTAGAAGCAGCACACACTTAGTCACAAACAGCTATTGCACCAGTATGTGCTTGTGCAATGCCTTGCCTGTCCCTCCCTCTGCAGTACCACTCAACTTATGACCACTGAGGCAGAAGAAAGTAAAGAAAAAGAAAGAATCGTTTCCTCTTTTCATGTGGCAGCAGCACAGCCAGAGGTCTTCAGCTGGCAAATATACGCTTAGACATTTTTTGGACTAATTTCACAAAATGGGCCAAAGTTTCAATTCCTTTTCCTCAGAGTTTGGGAACATGGAATATCTTAGAGCACATCTGGTTTGAAGAAGTGAGCGGAGGACATGAGCCAGTGCAGTTAAGCTTGCCAACAGACCAAGAGACTCAAGACTCAAGCCAAATAAAAAGCATTAAGCATAGGGGCGACACAATCAGCTTTATCTAAAGATGTTACTAGCCGTAAAACACGGTAAATAGAGTTCTTTACTTGTGACCCTCACCTTGTTTCACACGCATGCAAATAAGCAAACACATAATCAAACTCATTACGTACATCCTCCAGGAGTTTGCCTTCCACTCGAAGTTCCCAGGATGCCACTTTTTCAGCCTCCTCCCCTTCTGGCTTGCCAGGCGTGTAGGTGTTAGAAATATAGATCCTCAGTTTGTGTTTTTGCTGGAAGAGTAGAACAAAGAGCATTGATGTAATAAATCTATTTATTGAAATAATAAATAGATTTGTACTTTTCCTATAAAAATTTGAGTGGTAAAGGACATCATCATTTACTCAACCTATGTCACTCCAAGTTATTGGTCACAAAAACTTGGTTTGGTTACCAACATTCTTTAAAATATATTTTTT